TGTATTTTCTATAAGGCCTTTGTATGTAGAGGCCATTATTTGTAAGTATTAACAATTTATAAATAATGCTGTTCTCATAACACATAGCCCTTGTGTTTTCAGTTACATAAGGTAATTAGAAAACTGTAGATATCATATGTTTTAAGTGTTTGCAGAACAGAGCTAATAAATCTATAAGGATAAGCCACAAATTAAATAGTACCCACAATTAAAAAGTAATCATAACAGTAGCTAATACAAGATAGTTGCTCAGTGCCAATAAATTCTAAGCATATATATGTATGTATACATGCATATGTGTATATATACATACATATATATACACATATATGTAGATACCACCCATACATATAGAGAGCTCTAGTGGTGCAGTGTTAAGCATTCAAATGCTAACCAAAAGGTTAGTGGTTTGAATCCACCAGCTGCTTCATGGGAGAAAGATGAGACAATCTGCTTCCATAAGGATTTACAGCCTTGGAATCCCTACTGGGAAGTTCTATTCTGTCCTATAGGGTCACTATGAGTTGGAGTTGACCTCATGGCAGTGGGTTTGGTTTGGATTTTATGTATGTGTATGTGTGTGTGGGTATGGTTGGGCAATCCTACTTCCGTAGTGATACTGCCTCGGAAACCCAAGGAGGGGTCGCTATGAGTCGGGGCCGACTCAACGGCACATAACAACAACAACAACGTGTATGTGTGTGTAAAATGCCTTAGGCACTATACCACCAGAGCTTTATATATACATACACACACACGTGTATTTGGATACATATGTGTATATACATATATATGTGTGTGTACATAAATATGTATATATATTCTCTCAACTCTCATAGCAACTGCAAGAGACAGTACTATTATTACCTCTGCTATATAGATAAAACTATAGACAGAGAGAGCAGGCACAGACAGAAGGAGAAATGCTAGGAGGCCAAAAGTGGGAAGGGGGTGGTTCAATATAACACTAAGAATTTGGAAAAGAGAAAAACCTGTCATAGTACATAATTACTGAACTGAGATTATTCAAAATCTGAAAAGGGAATAAGAAATTCCAAAGCTACTAAAATGAATGAGGTGACTAAGCATATAACAAGCAAAGAAAGAAAATCACCCAAAGGGCAGATTTAAGTTACTGTATGTACAGAAATATGCTGTGACCTTTTGAGAAAGATTCAGATGATTTTCAAGATCCTGTCAAAGACATCTTTAGTAACTGTCATAAAAATATAAATAGTGACGTAAAAAAGACAATCCAGAAAAATTAGCCATATTGTAAACCATGACAAATACTGTTTTGTTGTATATTTAGCTCTGGTAGCATAGTGGCTAAGACACTTGCCTGCTAACCAGACGGCTGGCGGTTCAAACCCACCAGCCACTCCTCGGAAGGAAGGTTGGGCAATCCTACTTCCGTAGTGATACTGCCTCGGAAACCCAAGGAGGGGTCACTATGAGTCGGGGCCGACTCGTCAGCAAACAACAACAAACCTAAAATGAAAATTGCAGTTTCATTTAAATATCTGAATGCTTGGTTCCTGATTTTCAGAAGCACAGTCTCTGTTTTCACTTCAGTCTTTGGTGTCATGTACACCTGTTCAAATCTCATTATCAAAAATAAATTAGGAGTAAATGTACAAATCAGGACACATTTTTATAAAATAGGCAAGAGAACAAAAGTTGGATTGGGGCCCAAGATGGCTGTTTTTGTATCCAACTTAATAAACTCTCTGAATAACAGCTATTCTTTAAATGTACAAAAGAAATCCCTTTGATGAATAGGATATTCAGCATATTGTCACCAAAATTATGAATGAGAATATTATAAGCCATGCATTCTACAGCAAACATTCCAGAGTCAGACCACCTGGTTCAAATCACAGTTTAGTCAGCCTCCTAGTGTAGTTCCCTTGGACATATTCTTTGGCCTCTTTCCTCATTTTTAAAACGGTTTGTAAGAATTAAATAAAAATAATATTTGCAATGCTCTGAAAGGAGTGCTTGGCACATGGTAGCAGCTTGACATCTTAGTTATTATTTTCATTATATACATTTAAAAAAACCCTGTTGCCACTGAGTCAGAATTGACTCAATGTGTTACAGAGTAGAACTGAGCTCCACAAACATTCTAATTTACATATACATATACCAAAGACAGAACTGGAAAATTACAGTTCTGAAGATTCCTGAATCCACCAGAAAGGAGTGCATACTTAACCAAATATTGTAGAAATTACTTTTTTTTTTTAATTCTATAATCACTCACTCACTGCCATCGAGTCAATCTCGACTCATAGAGACCCCTCCTTGGGTTTCCGAGGCGGTATCTCTATGGAAGTAGATTGCCCAGTCCCTTCCAAGGAGTGGCTGGTGGGTTTGAACTGCCAGCCTTCTGGTTAGCAGTCAAATGCCCTTAGGCACTATGCCACCAGACTTCCTAATTCTATAATGGATGATCTGAAATCTGAAAGAGAATTACTAGTCTGATTGATAGCACTACACACATATACCCATGTGGTTTTGTACAGAGGTGTGGGGCTATGTTCTCACGTAAGACAAAATATTTGATATAAATATTATTATTTCTGATTTGATTTCCCTGGGGTTTTCCAATCCAAAGAAACTAGCCTAGGGAAACTGTAAAAAGTAACAGCCCATGGTTCTAAAAACAAACAAACTGATGTGTCATGCCAAAGCATTCATCTGCAGCTGAGAAAGTACCATCGGGGTTATCTGTGCCATGCTACTAGAACATTTTTAGAAAAACTTTTTAAAGGAAGGCTGTGGAACTTGTTAAGGAAGTAGTTTACAGTAAATATAAAAGGCCAATTAAGAAACCTAGCCCAGAGACTGGCATCTGGCAATTTTGGATGGTCAACAACCAAACCAACCTTTTTTTTTTTTTTTTACCTTTTCATTGTTATTTGGGTGAAACTTTACAAAAGAAGATTCATTTTACATTCAAGAGTTCACATACATTTTGTTTAATTAATTAATTACAGTGAAATTTTAATGTTCTATCATCACATTTGTCACTCTTCTTTCTCATCTTATACCTGTCTTCCACTTTTCTTCTACTTGACTTCAATTTTATACTGTTCAATGGATAAATTATCAGTCTTATGCCTTGAGCTATTTAGAGGCAAGCCATTATTGTAACATGAATAGTGGAAACAATCCAAATATTCCTCACCTGATGAATGGATAAACAAAATATGATATATCCATACAGTGAAATATTTTTTGGCAATAAAAGCAATTAAATACCGATATAAGCTATGAAATCAATGAGCATTGAAAATATCATGCTAAGTGAAAGAAGTCAATCATAAAGTCCACATATTATATGATCCCACTCACATGAAACTTCCAGAACAGGGAAATCTATAGAAACCAAACATAATTCAGTGGATGCTTAGGGCTGGAAGATGGAGATACAGAAGGAGGTTATAGCTAAAAGGTATGTTGTTGTTATGTGCCGTGCAGTTGGACCTGATTCATAGCGATCCCTCCTTGGGTTTCTGAAACGTTTTTGAGGTGATGAAAATGTCCTAAAAATTGACTATGGTGATGATTACCCAACTCTGTCAATTTACTAAAAACCAGTGGGTTGTACACTCTAAATGGATAAATTATATAGTAATATAGTATGTGATTATGTCAATAAAGTTGTTGAAAAACAAAAACTCCAAAACAAGACATTATATAATATGAATGATCCGAGAAGCTAGACTATCTGAAGAAAAACATGTCATCAGGATTGAAGGAAGGCTCATTAACAATCTGAGATACGCAGACGATACAACTTTGCTTGCTGAAAGTGAGAATGACTTGAAGCACTTACAGATGAAGATTAAAGACTACAGTCTGCAGTATAGATTACACCTCAATATAAAGAAAACAAAAATCCTCACAACTGGACCAATAAGCAGCATACAATAAATGGAGAAAAGACTGAAGTTGTCAAAGACTTCACATTGCTTGGTTCTACAATCAATGCCAATGGAAGCTGTAGTCAAGACATCAAAAGAGGTATTGTGTTGTGCAAATCTGCTGCAAAATACCTCTTTCAAGTGCTGAAGAGCAAAGATAACTCCTTGAGGACTAAGACGTGCCTAACCCAAGCCATGGTATTTTCAATCACCTCATATGTATGTGAGAGTTGGACAATGAATAAGGAAGACTAAAGAAGAGTTGATGCTTTTAAGTTGTGTTGTTGGTGAAGAATGCTGAAAGTACTGTGGACGCTAAAAGACTAACAGATCTGTCCTAGTAGAAGTACAGCTGGAATGCTCCTTGGAAGCAAGAATGGCCAGACTTTATTTAACCTACTTTGGTCATATTGTCAGAAGGGATCATTCTCTGGAAAAGGATGTCATGCTTGGTAAAGTGGAGGGTCAATGAAAAAGGGGGAGGCCCTCAATAAGATGGACTGTTACAGTGGCTGCAGCGATGGGCTCAGGTATAGCAAGGATCGTGGGGCTGGCACAGGATGAGGCAGTGTTTGGTTCTGTTGTACATAAGGTCGCTATGAGTAGGAGGTGACTCGACGGCACATAACAACAACAATATGAATAAAGTTATTTAAGTGACTCTTTTGTCAATGTAAATACTAAATAATTCCTGGTGACACAGTGTTTAAAGTGCTCGGCTGCTAACAGAAAGGTGATCAGTTGGAACCCACGAGCCACTCTGCAGGAGAAAGATGAGGCAGTCTGATTCCATAAAGATTGACAGCCTTGGAAACCCTTTGCAGCAGTTCTACTCTGTCTTATAGGGTCGGTACGAGTCAATCAATTCTATAGTAGTGCGTTTGGTTTTGGTTTTTGTCAACATATCAAACAATATTTTAAATATTGAATGGTATCATTAAATATCTTTTATCAGAATGTCTCACTTCCACATGCTGTATAGGAAATTCATATATCTTAATTTAGAATACACACACACACAAACATTTTCTGTGAGCTGAAAAGATACAGACTGTGAAAAGTGCTTACTTTTGCTCAACATAGAGAGGGTCAAAGAATTCCGTTGTGATTTTATTTGCATACAGGGAGCAGCCAGTCATTGAGCACAGACCTAAAAAATACCAGAGGGAAAATACTATTGTGAGTATTAACTCATTAATATCGTGAAGTACATTGTCTGGAAGAAAGTTACTATTTACCTGACAGGATGAATACAATTCCAGCCAAACAGGCAATTTTAGCTTTGGCTTTATCTGAGCCTCCGACTTTGGTACACTTCATTCCAAACAGTGCAAATATGGAACCAAAAAAGCCCAGGCTGACAGCAGCAATCATAAGTCCTCTACATGCCTGGATATAACCTGCAATTAGAGTATGTCATTTTATATTAACATAAAACATATGGCTATGAAGGGTAAATCCTCATTTTACATCAACATTCTGAATGATTATTCTCTTTTCAAAGAAAAAACACTCCATACTGTTTAAAACAAATGGCAAGATAAGCAAGAAAGGAAGGCAAGTTCATCTGTACTCAGTGCCTTATTTCTATGCCACACACTTTTAAGCATGGCTTGCACATAATCCCTATGATGGATCTCTTGGTACTATTATTCCCATTTTCATTGATGAGGAAACTGAGGAATACAAAGTTACATGATATGCCAGAGAGGAACTAATAAGAGGCAGAAAGGGATTCCATCCTAGATTTGATGCAAAGTCCATGCTATGAGAAATATCTGCCACTGTCACAACCTTCTAATTTGTCCACACATGGGCTTTTTAAATACATGATTTAGTAGGTTTGCCTTTATAAAAGTATAAAATTTATAATTGGACAGCAAATCACTCAAATAGTCAAAGCGTCCAATATTAGTGAAATCTTCTAAAGGCAACTAACTGAAATATCATCTTGAACCATAGAGAATGTACATCATGAACTATCTTAATGACACTGTACTATTTTTAGGGCATATAAAATATATTTGGGTTTGAAAAAGCATTGTTTAGTAGAAGAATAACATAGTCATTACACCAACTGTTTGCATATAAACGTGTGCTTTCAAAGTATGTTCTTTTGATCATTCCCCCGTACATGTATTTGCACCATTCATTTTCTTAGCCACATATTCGTCATCACAGCCAGGGTGATAGCATACTTTAGCCCAGCTTTTGTCCAAGCCCTAACAAATTTTTAATTAATAGAGTTTAAACCAGTAAGCTTTTAACACATAAGGTCATTTTTCATTTCAGTCTGAAACAGTGTCATATTTCAGTCTGAAATATGAATAGTATACTAATATTAGGTATACTTACTTATGAGGTGTAAGAAAATATTTACTAAGCAAATGAACATGTATACACACATCAGGTTTACATTTGAAATTAAATAGTTTAATTTGAAAGAATTCTACATGCCAAGATACAGCAAATCTATTATTAGTGCTCAGGCAAAGCCTACAGTAAAATTTTCATTCTTTCCCAAAGAAACATGGACTAGAGGTCACCTATCAGCATTTATTCCCTGAATTTATGATGATCATCATCTTAGAATGACTATTTATAGTTTTATCATAGGATGCACTTTTAGGAGCAAAGGGGAGATGTTCCACTCCATTGCAACAAACTTCAGGCCTTTCCAAATTCAGACTGCAATTACAATGGCCTCCTGTTTTATAATGTGAACTATTCCTGGACAGAAAATAATGTCACTGAAGGTAAGGCTATCAAAAATAGCAAGAGTAACTTATTTTTAGCAAAACAAGGTAATGGGATGAATTTTTATGGCAATAATCATATAGCAGAGCTATCTGGGTCTCTGCTGCCAAACACTGAGTCAATTCGATTTTAAGCTTCAACCCTAAAGTCCCCCAGCCAGAGCCCAGGTAGCACAGCCAGAGGCACAGAGAGAAAGATAAGAAACCTGTTAGTCTCTTGCAAAATTAAAAGAGTCTATCATAAAATTGGCTTATCATTTGCAATGAAAGCTATTGGGTTTGATCATTTCTTAAGATTTATTCTAATTTATGGCTTTGAGGTATTTTATCCGACTTTGACTACAAGCACTAATAAACGACGAAAAAAAAAAATGAAGGTGGAATGGCTAAGCATCCATAATATCAAAAAATGAAACTATACTAGACAGCCTTATCCTGCACCATAGTTTACATTTACTTTAGTTATCTTATAAACTTTGTTAACAGAAAATACTGAAGGTTAAGTTCTACAATCTGGTCACATAGAACACAGAATACATTTTCCCAGGTGGTTAGAATCCCAGGCCAGGCCATTTAATCCTTAATTTGACTGGTAAAATAACAGTAGTCCTTAAACTTTATTTATCCACTCCCCATACATTTCTCTGTAAATTTCTTGCTCTGAGTTCTCCCTTTCTAGCCCTAGTTCTTATAGCAGGACCTTCTTTGGTCTCTTGGCACAGCAGGAGAGGAGAGATGGAGAGAGAAGGTTCTGATATGGTCATGTCTTTCTTTAGTACCAATCAGAACACTGATTTGAAGGGCAAGGTGCCTCTCTTCAGTGTGTGAACAGCAACAGTAACTTACTAGCTTTTTATAGACAAAAAGGAGAAGTTACCGCAGAAAGTCATTTTCCATATTTTCTAAAATAGGGGGCAAAAAGCAGGGCAGAGGGTTCCTGGGAATAAACCCCCTGCCAACCATTAATGTGATCAAGACGTATGTAAGCCTGAGATTTGCAAATCAGGGGCTACCAGTGCTTTTAAACATGCAGAAACTCAGGCTTGAAGTGTCTTAGAACAAATTCTTTCAGAGTTTCTCTTTGAAAAGCAAACCTCTACAATAATGCTTTTAAACAGTTCCTGAGGGTAAAACTTATTTCAAGTAATACCATCAAGGGAAGTGGTAGTAAAAACCTCGTGAAGGAGGCCATTATTTTTGACAGGTCTTATTTATTGACACCCTTAATAGCTAATTAAAACATTAAGGTGCTGAAGCATGAACATATTGACTTAGAAGTTCTCTGAAGTATAATTTATTGTTAAGTCTCTTAGGAGAAGTGGCAAACATTTCCACTAACGAAAAGAGATGGCATATACTAAAAACAACATGGCTGAAAGTGATTCTCAGCTGAAGTGGCACTTAAAGGAATATAAGTTAACAATAAATAGAAATCATTAGCTCATTCAACTATGACATTTTCAATTAGTACAATACAGTGACTTTAAATCAATGAATTCTGTTGGATAAAAACCTTCAAGGTGCCCTTTATAAGTAAAATGTTTTCCAAAGTATGTGTACCTTATTTTAAATTTCAAACTAGCAGAAATATCCACTTGGTGGAGATAATTCACTAGTAACACATGTGCTAGGTGTTGGATTTGAGGGGGGGAAAAAGAATGTGGTTTTCTTACAACTAGTAGCTTTGTGTACTTTTTGCAAATCCTTTGGAAGAAGAGTAGTATGGGGGAAAAAGTAAGAACTCTTGAGTTTACATTACTTAATCTCTCTGGGCCTCAGTTTCCTCATCCATATAATGGAGACAGCAGCACCTACTTCACATAATAACATGAACAAAGTGACTAGTGAATGGTAAGAAACATCACCAAACCTTCCCTTCCTTAATACTGAGATTAATTCTAAGCAGAATTGGAGTTGGATTCTTAGTATGGAGTAACATTAAATCTAGACTTTAGCTTTTCCAAGCTTCATTTTCCTAACGGGTAAAACAAAAGGAAATGATATTCTCTTGTCAATGAGAAATCAGTGCATTGATCTCCTATAGGAAATTCTGAATAACAATCCTATCATCTGCACCAAGAGACTTCATCTTCCATTTAAGAGCAGCCATAGCCGTGAGGCTTCCTCTCCTTTCTTGGATTCTCTTCTCAATCTAGAGTTCTGCTTGGTTTAAGGGGAGGATTGTTTTGCTCAGGCCTGTGCCCACCACTGGCCATGGTAACATAGCTTTCTCATGTCACTTGAAAGGCAATGTCAGGAGGTTCTCAGGCATGCTACCTTCAGTAGGACTTGCCTGAGAATCAATTCCCAAAAGATGTGGCTACCCTGGAAATACACACATACAACAGACACTGAGAGGTGGCCCTGCTCAGGGAAGTCCCACCAGTAGGGGGGCAAATCAATTCTCCTTCATATGAAAATGTAGTTTTGTGCTTTAGCACTTAAAAATGTTATTCTGGGAGATACAGGAAAAATAAGCTTGTCACATTGGGATAGGGAATGCCTTCATGAGCCACAGAAGGCAAAGTCAACGAGGAAGAGATTTATTAATTTATTAGAAATTTTAAAGATCTGTATGGAAAAAAGGCACTATAAAGTTAAAAGCAAAGCAATGGCCTCAGGCTGAAATATATATAATAAACCATGAATTGACATTCAGAATTTAAAAAAAATCAAATCATTTAAACCAATAAGAAACAATAGCACCACAGGCATGCTATGGACAGGCAATTCACCAAAGAGAAAATAAAAATGGTCAATGAATATATAATAAGATGCTCAAGATCACAAATAATCAGGGAAATGCCAATTAAAATAATAAGAAGAGAATATCTCTCACCCATCACAGTGGGTGAAAAATTTATAGGTGAGAAGGTAGAGAAACAGGTGCTCTAATACAGTGTTGGTGGAATGGAATTTGGCAACGTAGGTTAAATATTAAAATGGGCATTTCACTGCCTTGACAATTTCACTTTTAAGTATCTACTCTACAGAAATACATATGTGCACAGAGAAGTGATATAAAGATTTTCAGTACAGTGCTAATAATAATGAAGAACTGGAAAGGGTCCAATGTCTAATAATGAGTAAATGGTTCAATGAACCAGTTTGTCCAGACTAGTAAATACTATGCTGCTATTAAAAAGAGTTAGTTCTGGTTGGAAAGTTATTAATTTTAGAACATTGCAGAACGACTGATTGTGTGCTATCGTTTATGTTTTTCAATCATTTTCTAGACACACAAACACATAGGAAGGCCATTTTGCAGGTTGAGTAGCATATATAAATGTCCTCCATTCTTTTTCCCACTCCCAACTAAATCTATAATTTGATCAATGAGGACTATGTCCTGCTTCTTCCTCACCACCCTACCTACCTCAGAATCAGAATTACAACAATTCTCACTTCGGAAGCATAACATGAGAACTTCACCACTCTGCACTCAATAATCTTCATGGGGCGTTTATTTCTCTCTCTTCCCTTCCCCTCCCCCCCCCAACTGTCCTATAGAAGGAAGTGTGCCCACCTGGCACACTATCTCAGGTAACCAAAAGTTACAACATAAAGAAGGCCCTTATGACAGTTACTGTCAGTTGCATATTCATGAATGTAAACCATATAAACAAGAGCCTGCCTATTCACAACATCTGCCTGGGTGTGTGCTCTGTGGAATACAGGAGATTCAACAGTAGTTCTAAGGGATAAACGGGGTTTCGGCTGCTTATTTTACACAACCAGAGGCAAACCTAACCGGGTGTCATCCTTCTAACACCAGTCAGGTATTTTCTTACACTGAGGTGTTCCATCAAATACCAATGTTGAGCAACAGTTTGCTTTTCGTGGCAAGTGCCATCTTAAGGGAATCAAATCTTGGGTCTTTTATTTACCCAGATAGGTAAACAAAAACTTGAAGTGTGGTCAGTAAAAGAAAACACCTCAAATCTAAAAAAAAAAAAAAATGTAAATGATTCCTCTTAAGTGTCTGCGGGGGATCCATCTACTTGTCTGCTGTAAAATCCTGGAAGAAGAAAGCCTAGAACTTGAACTATCATTGTGACCTGGCTGACTCGATCTTGAAACGAAAAAGAGCTGGTTTTCGTGTTGCTATCTTGCAAAACAATATAAAGCCTGGTTAACAAACCAATGTAGTTGAACATCGATAAAAGAACACGAAGGAGCCTCGGAGAGCAGACCAGGGAGGCACAAGACCCTTGCCCACCCAGTTTCTCTACAGCCTCTGCTGAGACTTCATCTGCGGCATCAGCGACATAGATTTCAGGGGTGTTTGTTTTCTTAAAACTTGGAGAAAGTACTAAAGTCTAACCAGATAATTTGCAGAAACGTTTTTAAATGGTGGCGGGGGACGGAGGGGAGTTGAGAACTCACTGCAGTATTTTTTTCTGCCTAAAACAACAAAGGCATTTGACTGCTAACCAGAAGGCTGGCGGTTCAAACCCACCAGCCACTCCTGGGAAGGCAGGTTGAGCAATCTACTTCCGTAGAGTCACTGCCTCGGAAACCCAAGAAGGGGTCTCTATAAGTCGGATTCTACTCCATGGCAGTGAGTTTGGTTTTTGTTTTGGAACTTTTAAAAGAGCCAACAAAACGTCTAAAAGGAGTTAAATGGAAGCACATCTGGCTTTCAACGACACCGCGTTAATAAGAACCGAGCTCTATGGATAGAGGAGACCAAGCCCCGCAGCGTGAACTCTGCGTCTGGTGGGTGTGTGGTCCTGACTATGCCTGAGAATTGGGATCCTACAGTCGTGTCCTCGACTCTCAGACAGCAAGGCGGCTCCCCCTCCACCCTCGACGAGCGGGCGTCCTCCCACCCGGGCCTGCCTGTGTACCCCCTTTCCCAGGGTCTCAGGCTCTGACAAGAGCCCCCGCAGGGCAGCCGGACAGGGACTGGGACGGGGAGCGGCGAGCAAGGGGACTGTCTCCAGCTCCCTCAGGCCCTGGGAGGAGCTCGAGGCCAAAGCTCGGATCCTGGCCAGGGGTCCCACCAGGGGCTGCGGGGCAGAAGGGAGCTCCCGGGCATCCCCACTCCCGCGCCCTCCGGCCCAGAGGATGCCCCTGTGGATTGGTCAGTGAGGTGTGAGGGCCGGGGTCCGGGGGCGAGGGGATGCAGACCGTCCAGCGCCAGCATGGAAGGGAAGTCCTTGCAGTTGGAGACGCCAGTGGAGTCGGTAACGCACGTCTTCCATAGGTTGGCCCAATAGGTGGCGGTGGTGATGACCGTGCCGTCGATAGTGGACACTTTCCAGTAGTCAGTGGGCAGAGTGGAGGACACCAGTACCCAGCCAGAGATGGAGACCATGAAGGCGATGATCTCCGAGGCCGTGTTCGCCATGCCGCCGGCTGCAGCCTCGCTCGCGCACCCACTCGGCGCCGCGACCCCCGTGCGCCCAGCCCGCAGCACCCGGCCCCGCGGCTCCGCCTCTCCGTCCGTCGCCGCCTCCGCCCTCCGCCCGCCTGGCTGTAGCTTCGGCTCAGGAGACTCAGCGCTAGGGGGCGCGCGAGGCCCTGTGGACCTGAGCACCAGCCTGCGTGGGCAGGGAGGGTTCGGTGGGCGCTTCACCCGCCTCCTGCCCGTGAGCTGGCCCAGCGCCCAAAGTCAGGAGGAAGGCAGGTCGGCGCTCCCTTCTGCCCCACGCCCCCTTGCATCTCCGGGGCTGAGTGACCGCAGAGAATGGTTCTCCTGTTGGAGAGGAGCAGGGGCCGAGTGACTGCCGGATGTGGACAACCTGTTGTACTCCCCGCCCTCCCGCTATTAAACCACCCCTCCCCTCGCCAAGGCTAGTCAGGGCAAATAGTTTGGCTTCCAGAGTACCTTGTAAAGCCGTTCGTGTGCCCTGAAAGGACACGGTCTGGTAACACAGCCCTCGGTTTTCTGAACGCTAAAGGTTTTCGTGCCACCCTTGTTTTAGTGACCCTGTTTGCCTTGTCAACGAGGGATCACTATGCAGATTTGGGGCTCAAAACTGCCCTTGCCCAAAGAGCTCCGCAATTCTTTTTGACCTGGTGGTAGGTGGAAAGTAAATGTGAAGTGGTGCGTGACACAGGCCTAAACTCAACAGCATATGGAGAGCACAGACTCCATCAGAACCTTCATTACAATCTTGAACTTAAAATATCTGAGCCATAATGCTGTCCTGTTTACGCATGCATTTAAGACGTTTCCTGTAGGTCCCTTCTAGCTCCGGTTCTATGAGTCTATTCTATGAAGTGATGATGGGTCTCTCAAGGTGGAAATTTTACTCTCTCTTGTTTTACCTGTTAACTACCCCTACCCTTGAGAGCTCTGGTAGCATAGTGCCTAACACACTTGACTGCTAACCAAAAGGCTCGTGGTTCAAACCCACCAGGCACTCCTGGCAAGGAAAGTTGGGCTATCTACTTCTGTAGTGATACTGCCTGGGAAACCCAAGGAGCGGTAGCTATGAGTCGGATCTGACTCCATGGCACATAACAACAACAACCCTTGTGCCTAATAAAGAACAACTCATTCATTCATTTGTTCATTCCTTCATTGCTGTCTGAAGGTAAACATAAAGATCAGAGTGCCTCCCAGCCCCTAAGGTCTCAAATCTGGCCATCTATGAGAGAGCAAAGACACTGGCTTTATTATGGGGCTTTTATTTGTTCACTTAAAGTTCTTTCACTTCTTTGTATGTGCTTTCAGGATTTGCTTCTTGCCAAAAGTAACTAAAGATCTAAAATCTGTAAGTAAATCTAAAATAAAGCTTTTGCTCTCCCTTTGTTTCAAAATCTTTATGCAGATCTTTGGTGCATTGAGAAGAACTTTTAAATTCCTTGTGTCACTTTTTTTTTTTTTTTAACCAGATGAGGGAATGAAATTAGAGGTGACTGTGGAGGAGAGGGGAGCTCTGGTGACATTTGTCTGCTAACCAGAAGCTAGTGGTTCAAACCCACCAACCACTGCTCGGAAGGAAGGTTAGGCACCTTACTTCTGTAGTGATACCACCTCGGGAACCCAAGGAGGGGTTGCTATGAGCCAGATCCGACTCAGTGGCAGTGAGTTGGTTGGTGGTTTGTTGGAGGAGAGAGAGGAGCTCTGGTGGTGCAGTGGTTAAAGCATTTATACCCTTGGAAACCCCATGAGGCAGGAGTTTGGTTTGGTTTGGGAGGAGAAAACATCCTTGGGTGAAGCAAATCGGTTTGCACTTAGCTACTAACTGAAAAGTTGGCAACTAACTAAAAGGTTGGCAGTTCAAAGCTAACTAGCTGCACCTGGGAAGAAAGCCCAGGTGATCTACTTCTGAAGGAGTGAAGCACTGCTCTGAAACACCTGGAGTCTCCATGAAGTGCCCCTTCACTAAATGGCATGAAGCTAGCTCTTTTCTTTTTTGTTTTTTAATAGAGGAGAGAGGAGATGAGGCTACAGACTCATAAAAACTTAGATTTGGAAGGAATATCAGAGATCCTGAAGACAAGCTTCATACTCAACACAATGATCCTGTCTATAGCCCATGTTCTACCTTTCAGGGCTGGAGGTTCAATATATGGCAAGGTATGAGTTCTATTTCATTTATTTTTTGGCAGCCCTTTTAGAAAGTTTTTCTTTATACTAAATCTGAATTGGTCTCCCCTTAACTTCCACCCAAATGTCCATAATTCTGTGATCTGAGACCACACAGGTAAGTCCTACTCTCTGGGCTATGTAGCAACTCTTAGGAGGTGCGTCTGTGTGTGCTTGCCCATCTCATGGTTGCAAATGGCAGTTAAGGTGCAGATGGTTTGCCTGCTGGATGCTGACATGGTGATGTGTCACTCTAGTTCTGCTCTTGGTCCCAACTTGTCCTGGTGTGTCTTGTCAGGTTCACTGGTGAGTCAAATCTACAAACAAAGCTGGAGAAGCAGTGATCTAACCTCTTTCTTCTCATCTTCCCTGCTATTCAAACCAGTCACCTTTGAGTATTGACTATAAAATGTCCTCTATTCTTTGTAAGATTTGCTTTGTAAGATGCTTTTATCATCTAGTTTTTTGCCCTCCAGCATATTCCCACATTATGTCTATGCCATGTTCCTTTCTCAATGATCTGCCTATTTCTGGTTCAGTTTACTATTCAGAAAACACAGAAAGTCATTAACCATACATTCCCTAGGTAGTTTAATAAAATTAAGAGTTGGGCAATTTTGGTTTTGTGCTTTATTTTCTGCCTCATTTCACAGTTTCTTTATTTGCTTATGTCTTGCTCCTGAAAGGTACTCACTAAATTTGTTGATTATTTCTGTTTTCACAAAACAAACCCCTGATTTAATGTTGACACACAGAAACATTGTATTGTGACCTTTAGGACTCAAGCATTTTCTAATTTATTAACAGGTTGGTTATAAATTCCACTGTTTGGAACCAATTTTTTTTTAAAGAAACAAATATGAAAAATGATTTGGTGTTTTAGACTAGCTGCAAAAAGTTTAATAGAGCTCTATTACCTATTATACTTGAAAAATCCATAAATCTTGGTCTTTATTGCAGTATAACTTCTTGAGGAAACAAGTTCTGAATTCCAGATTGGAACTCCAAGAAGGAATTGCCCCTACCCCACTCCCCACCCAGTGCGTCACCAGAGCAATTAAATCACAGTCTCTGGGGATGGGCCGTGGTAGTGAAATTTCTAAAGCTTCCAATGTGCAGCCAGTTTGGGTAACATGGCTCACTGGTTGAAATTCATGTACATACGTATTAACAGTTAATTTAGCTTAACAGATGGTGTGTATTATTTAGAGGAAGGATATTAATCTCTTCCCACCAAAGAAGGAAATATTCTTTGATGGTAGAGATTATAACACAAATTCAACTTAAAAGAGGTTGAATATACTTCTTGTTGTTGTTGTTTTGCCAGCCTTCTGGTTAGCAGTCAAGTGCCCTAGGCACTACGCTACCAGAGCTCCCTGAATATACTACAAACAATATATAAGTTAAGATCTATCTAAATTAATAATAATGCCGGAGGAAACAGACGAGGTCATCATGCCTGTGGATTTGATTACTTTTACTTTTCTCCTTTGTCCCTTTTCTTTCTATGAAGAAGACAACCCTAAACTCTCTTTCTTCTCTGGAAGGTACTGCATAGTTCCTATAAAAAGTAGTATTTTAGAGCCTTCAAGTGCCTAATCAAAGAATGAAAAATGTTGATGTTCATTAATACCAAAAGACTATTATGGAATGAATCAAGCATTTATTTTAGAATCTGAAGCTTTTCAAACCAGTTTAGTCAGAAGAAACTTAAAACTATTACAGAGGACCACATAATCTCACATAAGAATGCCCAGAAAAGAAAAGGAACCAAACAGAGAAAAATTTTAAAAAGTAATAGATAAATGGCATATTTCTCTTTAAGATTATAGAGTACAACATAACCTTTGTAGTTAATCTGCAAACTGATTTACAGACAGTAGCTTTCAACTGATAAATGCTTCCTTATTTTCTTTAGTATTCAGTTCACTGAGATTTTTATATAACTATTCATAACAAACTATTTATAATTTAAATATAAAAAAGAATACAGCAAAAAAAAGTTGATTTCTCCAAATTAAAATGCTATCTTAATTAATAATTTGGTGCTTCCCAATATGAAATTTATTAATTTATCTATAAATTAATAACATTGAACTGAAGACATTTAACGTCTGTAAGCATTTTCTGACTTTGTCACTTTTGAGACCTAAGCATCTAAGATAGGCACTGGAAGTTATTTCTTTGGCATTATTATGGTTAGTGAGGAAAAATAGAGGATCCCCCGACCCTGATGTTGTTCAGTAGGAGTGCAAACCAGTTTAGCCGACTGAACAGGAGATTTGCAGAAATTCTTTACTTGAGATTCAATTCACCTGCCAAACAACACAGGTGTGCCTTTCAACAGCTCAAGGATTTTCTAAGCATCAAATTTGGTTTCAGTGTACATTAGCTTCTTCCTAGATTCCAGTGAGATGGCATGCCGATAATCAGGTGGGAAGAAACAGGGAAGACATGTAAATAAGGTATTAACTATAAAAACAACTGCCCAGGAGCCAAATATTGTTACACCATGTTAAAGAACAAATTAATGCCAGTACCAAGCTATTAAAAAAGCATATCTGTATACTTTTTTTCCTCTTATGTTAATGCTATACAGTCATTCTATGGTATTTATAACCTACTTAGTATGAAAGGTACAGAATGATAAGAATAATTATGCTTTTATGTTTACCTTTTATGCTTTTATTTTATGCATTTGTGCTTATCATTGCATTACTGTTCCAAATATATGTGACAAGTAAACAGGTGCCTTATTTAGGCATTTGGTAACCTCTTAGGCTGTCTCTGGGTAGTGCAAATTGTTTGTACTTGAG